AGAATTATTATTTTCATACTTCTTTTTTTTATCTTATTTATTTGCTAAAATTTGTATATATCTAATTAAACTATTTTTAAGATATTTTCTGTATTGATTAATAAGATATTCTTTTAAATTATAAAAAATACTACTTTTTCAAAAATTAGAATAATATTTACAAGAGGTTTCTTAATATTATAAGTTCATTTATTTCACAAATTATATAAAATTTTAAATGTTAGAAAAAGTTCTTAGTATTTTTATTTATTATGTTAAATTCATTTAAATAATTTAAATATACTTATAATAATATTATTTTTTTTATAAAAAAAAAATCATGTATTTAAAAAAAAATATAAGTAGAATATATATAAACATCTTATTTATATTAAATATACAAACATAATAAATTCTAAATTAAATTCTCATATCAAATTCTGAAATCTAATCTAATTTATAAATGTTTAAATTAATTTAGTTAATTTATTGATTAATAATTGACCAATAAATTAAAAATATTTATAATCAAATAGTTAAAAAAAAGGTGACTGACTTAATTAAATAAATTAAGTAATAAAATTAGAATTTAAAAACATAACCATAAAATTAGCAACTTTACTTTTCTTTATTTGATTTTTACTTGATTATTTAATTTATTTTATTTCTAATTATTTAAATATAATAAGCAAATTAATTTCTGTTAAGTTTAATTTAAAGTTAAAATCTAACAATATTTAAATTAAGTAAATTATTTTGTAAAATTTGAGTATTAATAAGCAAATAATATAATAAAATTTTATGGTCCAATAAATTATTAAAATTTATATTAGATATAATAAATTAAATTAGAAAATTTCAAAAAAATTTGTAATAATTAAAATAATTATTTTTTATAATTATTTAAAGCACTAATAAGTATTAATTATATTTGTTATAATTTAATATAATTTATTAATAAGATTTGAATCAAATATTAATATATTATATTATTATTTAAAATTAAAATTCTATAATTTAGACTTATTTAAAGTTTAATATATTAAAGCTAGTTTAAGATAACTAAACCTAATTTTTTGACTGAATTAATAGTTTAAAATAACAAATTTACTGATATAATAAATTAAATAAATTTTATTATCTCTTAAATTATCTAATATTCAAATTTACCTGCAAAATTAAAAAAAAGTATTAATTTCTTTATTAAATGTTTAATATTAAAGATTTTAAAAATTTTTAAAATAATTTGATTTTAAAGTTTAATTCAAAAATTTATTATAAATTATAATAATAAAAGTTTTTTTTTATAAATAGTTTTATAATATTATATTATAATTAAAAAGATTGTCATAAATTTAATTATGAAATTTTTTTAATATAAATATTTTTTAAATTTTTATCTTTTAAATAACATTCATTTTTTATTATATAATTAAAAGATAAAATTTATATATTATATATTTATTATATTTATAAAATTAATTTAAAAAATATTTTAAAAAATTTTAATTATTTATAAAAGAGAATTTATAATAAATAACATATTTACTTGCAAATTCTTATGGTATAAATTATTAAATTGAAACCTTTTTATTATAAAATAAATAATTAAAATTTTAATTTTATAAAATAAATTTTGAATAAATAATTTGGTAGTAAATCTGATATATTATATTAATTAGAATTTTATTTTTTTTAACAAATTTTAACAGATTTTATAAATTAATTTAATAAATAATATTATTATGTTAAATAGAATTTAATGTTTATATAAAGAAGATTTCTTTTTTTTTACTAATCAAATAAATTATAAAAATATTTTAAAAAAAATTCAAAATGCAAATTTCTGCTTTTTTTATTTCTTCTACTTCATCTTCTATTTCAATTCCTTATACAAAATGAAATAACAAAATGATTTGTGTGCTTATTGATTAGTAAAAATTATAAAATCAAATAAAATAATAAAAAATATATTTAACTTTGCTTTTTAATTATTAATTCAAATTATATATAATATTATTATAAAGGAAAGATAAAAATAATCATTTTTAAATTGTTCTTTTAAAATGGAACTTTATTATTCCTTTAGAATGAAATATATTTTTATACTTTTTTTAAACTATTGTTTAACTTTTACTTGAGCATAGCTAAACTTCAAGCTGATGATGGCTCAATTTTCTTTAAAGTAGATTGAACTTTTGAAACTTGACTTAAGTTAAATGGGTTAAAAAGTTTTTGACTTAACTTGACTTGACCTAACTTAACTCGACTCATTTGACTCAAAATTTGAAAATTTGACTTGATTTATTCTAATGAAAAGTTTGGTTCTTTTTGTTTAAATACATATTGCAAAAAAAATATAATTTTTTTCTTAGATGAAAAAATGATAAAGTTTCTAATGCTTAGATATTTGAAATTATTTGTTATTATTATTATAAAAGTTTTATACATATATAATAAAAATTTTAAAAATTTTTAAATTATTAATGATTTTAATCATTCTATTATTAATATTAACTTTGAATTTTCCTAATAATAATTATTATAGTTTCTAATCTCTTGTTTATTTATTTTAATTGATTATTAATATTACTAATTTCAATAAAGTAAAAATGTAGAATTAAATAGATAAATCATTAAAACTATATTATTTATTATTTCTTAAAAATAAAATGATTTTTTTCAAATTTAATTATAACGATAAGTTTTTAATTACTGTAGTTGATCAATTAAGGGTTTACCTATGCGTATCAAAAATTTTGAAACATATATATTTTTTTTTAGCTGGCATGCAATATTTTTTCTTTCAAATGATTTGCTCGGGTATTATAAAGTAATAATTTACATTGTAAATTCAAACACAAGGTAAAGTAGCGAAAATGATAGAAACGTTAAATAAATTGATAATTTGCGAATATTTTACAAACAAATGGAAACGAACAGTCAGATAGAACTAACTGTAAAACAAAGATAACTGGAAATAAATTATAAGTTATTGCCTTCAATCACGATATTAATTAATAATAGACTTGGACACATCATCATACGCTTTTTGGTCAAACGATGAAACGTTTAGGATAAAGAATGATTTAATTTGTAAAAATTTTCGTTCATTTTTAAATTATTACTAAAAATCATGAATTTTTAAAGGAGACAAATCATCAGAGATATCATTTGGTTGAAAGCTTTCAAAACTTCAAATTTACGTTCGATGTTAGTTTTAATTTTCAAAAGAAAAATAACCACGTGAACCATTTCAGAATGTTTACTGTTTCTGGTAGCAATTTCTCGGAACATAGATTATGCTATTTACTCCCATTATAATTTTATAAGTTTCACGAGTGACTATTTTTATTTATTTCATGTAATGAGTTATTTTTGTCATAAATAAACAATAATTTTCATTTTCAAAAACGTATGGTAATGAAAATGTATGAAAATTTTTTTAACGGAAAAATTATTTAATTCTTTTCGGTTTTACACAAGTCATGAGAAAGTTCAAAAAATTTTTTTCTTGTTCATTGGTAGCTTAAGCAATTTTATTATAGAAATGTCGAAATAGAATAAGCACTTTACTTTTATTTTCATTATAAAAGATCATTGATGGAGGTGAATAAATTTTTCATTAAAACCAACCATTCATCCTAAATAACTAGTACATATTGGGATTCCGTCATTTTTCACCGATTCAATCAATAGGAAATTCCCACGGATGAACTTTATGCTCATTTTCTTGAACGACTTGTGTAACAGATAATCAATATAGAATTTCTCGTAAAATGTCGTCTTTTTCATATTATACCAATTTTGATTTACTATACTACTACATATTAATTATAATGTAAAAATATCATAGAAAATGAGTCCAGAAAGTTAAGAAAATATTCCTAAAGGATAGTTGATCATTCGGAATTGTATTCAAATACGTCTTTTCATCTTTATACAAAAAAGGCATGACAGACAATCCCTTATAATTATATCTTTACTAGAAAGAATACTCAGAAGAAGCCCGCAGAAGAACTAGTAAAAGGTAATACTTGTTTGTTCCATTTGATTACGGAAAGAGTCTTGATTGGTCATAAGTTCTCGAATAGTAACATCAAGTACATTTATTCCTTTAACACAGAATGCATAAGAGCATTTCTGGTTTATTGCCTTATGAAAATGTCAGAAATCATACAGAAACCTGCATGAACTCAAGTTTCAAAGCATTTGACATATTTCCAGATTAATTTCATGAAAAAGAAAAATATTATTTTAAGATGAAAAAGGAAGGGCAATGAAAATGGAAGGCGCAAGAAGAAAACATGCTCTAAGATTTCTTAAAACAAGTTTGTTGTCTAATGATTTAGATTTATCGGTACTAAAGATGTGCATTTTCCTTTTTATTCATTGCCAAGGTTCAAAAAAACGCATGTAAAATTTTCAAATAAACTAGGATCACTTGAGGTATAAGAGAAAGAAAAATTTTATATTCATTATTGAAACGATACCTTTTACCATATTTAAAAATTAAATTATTTATTTAATATTTATTAAAAAAGTGTTAAATCCAAATAATCCAAAAAGAATTTTTTATTTTTGTTTATTTCACGTTCCTCCTGAAATTGGCACAAAAAAATATGGAAAAAATCAATAACGACCCACGAAAAAGATCGACTTTTGTAATGATTGTGGAAAACCAATTATTGAAAGAATTTCTGTTGTGTATTGTGGACCACGTTTCTTTTTTTGGTTAAATTAAAAACTTAAAAAAGTAACGAAATAGGCTAAATAAATCATCTGATGACTTTTTTTTTTCGATTTAAAAGTCTCACAAATAAAAAACTTCATACTAAATACCAGTGCCACATTTCCTAACTCGTCTTTCATAAGGGTAAAAACAAAAAAATTGCCACCCATACCAGTGAATAATTTTCCGAGTACGAAAAGCAAAAAATTCGAAAATTCCCAGTCTCGTCTCTTTTTGATTTAAATAAGACACATTTGAAACCTCCTTTCGGTCAATAACTTGAAACAAAATGGCAACAAAAATTCCTACAGAGATTATAATCGAAATTTGCCTTCACCTAACCCCAAATGATCTTTATTCACTTTCCTTGATATGTAAAAAGTATCGATCATTATTATGGTCAACAACTACGACAACTCAAGATATTTGGCGTTTATCAAGATTAAGTTTCGTACCGAATTTGACCCTTCCACCTCCATTATTACATACTAATAATAAAGAACCTCTTAAAAGGATGAGCGAACAACAATATATTTGGTTGATGATTTTATGTGAAAAATGTTACTTTTGTGATCAAAAAAATAAAATGGAATTAACCATGTACTGGGAAGGAAAATTTTATAGTTGTGAGAAATGTTTGGCGAAAAAGGTTATAAGGTAAGAGATGCCTTTTAACTTTTTATATATGTATATTTTTTTTTCTCTTTGGGAATAAGAAAGAGGATTTATTTTTAATTTTTATTTATCATTTTATTCTTATTTTATCTTTCTTTTTAGTGGAGAAACTTTAAAATCTAAACGGAAGATACCTGAAAAATTATTACAATGTTTACAAGAATTACCAAAATCATTTGATATAATTTGCTGGAAACCGCAAACCTTTCTTATTTCCGAAGTAATAAACTTAAAAAAAGAATATGATCAATTAAAAAGACATGAAAGGAATGATTGGATTGAAAAGAAGAAACGGGAAATTGAAAAGTTACAAGGAGAAAACGAGCTTTACAGGGAATTACATGACGAGTGTAGATATGATTACGTTGAGAGAGCTCAAAGGAAGTTTAAAACTTTATACAAAATAGAAAATAAAAAAAAGATTATAAAGAAATGGGATTTTAGGGTTTAAAGTTGCGTTTTATTTAATTTTGTATGTATTATATAAACTTGAAGTTTTCTGTAATAATTAAAATTAATAAATATTTTTTTTTTTCAACAACATTTCATTCGGAGTATATTATGTGCGGGAACTATTAAATTTGCCAAGCTTTATTCTAATAACCGAACTATTCTTTCTCCTCATATACATTAAATTAAACTCCCTAGGATCAAGAAAAATATTAGTAAAAAAAAAAAAAAAGAAATATTCTAATAAATTACTTTAAAATATGTATCATGAAAATTACCTTGGCGATAATAAAGATATGTCAAGATAAAAATAACTTTTTTTTTTTTAATTAATAATTTCTTTAATCTATGAAAGATTAAAATTTATTATAATATTTTTTTTTTTTTTTTTTTTTTTAATAAAAAAAAAAAAAATAAAATAAACTTTTCAATTTTTTTGTATGATATTTTTTTTATACAAATTTTTCTCAATAAGATCAATAAAAAAAAAAAATAAAAATAAAAAAAAAAATGAATGATAAAATATGTGAATAAACTCTTAACGCGAATCGCAATAGTTTGAACGTCAACGTTGAATATTTACCGCCGCGAATCATTGCGAAAAAAATGTATGTTGTTTATAAGAATTCTTATTAATTATTTTTTACAAATGAAGGATATAAGCAATTATAAACATAACAGGGATGCCAACGAATTATAATAATCAATAATGATTCAAAGTAACGAAGTAAAGGAAGGATATAGGAGTACATTTTCCGTCGTAGCTTCCAAATCGCAAATACAGATGTAAAATAAAGAAAAACCGATAAATGTTAACCATATTTTTTTTTTATCGCTCGTATTAAAAGTATCATGTTTCGTTATATTCATTTCCGTGGTTTCGGTTTCCTCACTCTTTCGACGCTTAATGCTATTCCATTGACTAATACGGCACCCTCGCTTACGGCGTTATGATATGCAGTTGGCGAAGCAAAATCTGCAAATGCGCAAGCCTATTAAAATATTTTTTTTTTTCCACAAGCAAAGAATTATTTAATTTGGTCACTTGATAAATTAAAAATAACGCTGACAATAGAATTAAAATAAAAAATATAATACCTTGGATGATATAATATCAATACTATCAACTGGTCCAAAAGCTTCTTCAAGACAATGTTTCAACGAATCTTTATCGATATCGCTCGTAATGGAACCGATAAAAGCGCGGCAGTCTTTAGTCATTTGAACTTTTTTTTATTGTAAAATAGCACATTAAGTAAACAAAAGAATTAATAAATCAATGAAAAAAATGAAAAAAGATATACACAATTTTTTTATTTCTTACTTTGTTTTCCACGAGCCCTTCTAATACTTTGATCGTAAGCATCCGATCCATTATAGTTTGTTAAATTTTGTTCATAAGCGTATTGAGAAAATTGTCTACGAGGCGAGGAAGTTTCAAGCGATGATTTATTTTGAGACAAAAATTGAATAAGCTCATTTTGAGATTGAATGAATTTTAGATATCTGGCGGCGGTGTCTTCTTGTTGTTCAAGTTGTGCTTTAAGGACAGCACAATTTCGGCAACAAGATTTATCGTTCGAGCTCATTTTTTTTTAATATTTATCGTAGCGTCTTTTTTTACGACGAAAAAAAAAAGAACCGACGACGGGGGGAGTTGAGTTTGTTGGCAAAAGGAGGTAGTTATTGAGTTGTTTTACATCATTACCACTATATATATAATAATGTGTCAGGTGATACAAATTTACGTGATCTTCATGACATGAATTCGGATTTTAAATAATCCGGACAAAACCGAGGACGCAAATTTAGCCATTATACACTAAATAGACATTACGTTTTGTTCATAATTAGTAATTCACTATAAACAAAAGGCAATCAAAGGTTTGACAAACACTCAAAAAATGAGTGCCATGGTACTCATAAATGTGAATCTTTTATACTTCTTGAATTGATCTTGCATGTTGTGACTTACGATTATAAATCTGGTATCGCGCTTTTTGAATGTGGAGAATGGTCAAATTTATACATTGACATAAGTGACGATTTTTTTTTTCGATTATTTATTACGTTTGTGATTAGATAAGCAAAAATATCAAGGAGCTATGACTCAATCGGGAAATAATTATAATTAAGTGCGACCAAATAAACTTTTGATTGGTACGAAACATATTTTACCGCAGCAAATTGAGGGTAAGATCATCACCATTCAAAAAGTCGGAATTCTTTTATTTGATGCCAAAAGGAAAATTATTTCTTTTCTTGCTCCACTTCCGCAGTTGATTATGACTAATGAAAAGTACTTCCATTAATTTTTTGCAAACAATTACTCAAAGAATTTGATTTACCAGATGTGGTTACAATATAACGAACAATCCTGTGTAAATTTACATTATATAAATATATAAATAATAAATAATATATTCGAGACTTATATGGGTATTCCATTTTTTATGTTGATATCAATAATAATAAGACTTTGAATAAAATGTATATAAGTAACATTTAATTTGGGGAAAATTTAATAACTTCCTATCTATAAATTAACTTTTTTTAATGGAAATTAAATAATTTAGACTAATCAAGTTAAACATTCTCTAAAAATAGATTTCGGATTTTGCTTCACCGCACCGAGAATATATCCAGTTGCGATTGTTATGATGTTATTGTTAACTTATAATCAAATACCATTATGTTATTACGTAAGAATAAGTTCATAATAAACAAAAGTCTTTGAATCTCAATTTTGATGAACGCATCTTCCGATGGATCTTTGATAATAAGATTTTACATTCTTAGAATATAATAAATCTTTCTTACGAATGTATTAAGTTTGAATTTTCAATGTTGAAAAAAGTACGATATTAGTTTTGGTGATTTGTGTTTAATAAAATGTTGTCATTAAACATTCAGGGTTTCATGTGAGTCAAACGATCTTTTTTTTCTTTTTTTGTAATAAGAAATAATGTAGGAGAAAGAACAACTAGGGAACACAAACTTTATTATACGTTTCATTGTTTATATTGTTTGCTTATATTGTGATCAGTTGATCCGATTTGGTGTTTAGCAATTGCAAAACGCCGCAGTAATTTCGGCTTTTCTTTGGTCTCTTTATGTCCGAATTTGTTCAAAATACGTAACTACCTTCTCAATTATATCTTAATAATAACGGTATGTTGATTTTTGTTTATAAAAAGAAATGATCAATTATTTTAATAAAAATATTAAATTAATAATTGTCTGCTCTAAACTTTACAAGTGTAAGTATAAGCAACCAGGTATATAAAAAAACTGGTAACTTCATTAATCAAATGAATTTGACAATTTAGTCATAATAAATTCTAATTAAAATTAGCATAGAAGTTAATAGTAGTGCGGTCGAGTTTCAGAGAAACCCGAACCCTCGGGTCAACACGAACTCGACCCGACCCGACTATAGTTAAACTCGGGACAACCCGGGTTTTACGGATAATTTTAATGCCGAGAAACGGGTGTTTTTGATTTTTCAATGCTAGTGTATGCATCGAAAAATAATTCCAATTTAACTTCAAAACCTTGATTTTAACACATACATACACGAATTGTATATGCTTAAAACTCACTTTACTGGCATGATATTCATCACCAATATTATGAAGCCAATTTTATTTCTAAATTTAAACAAAAAGTAAATAATAATATATAATTCAAAAATACTTACGGAAAGTAAAACATTTTACTGTTCGATGAGTTTTAGTATATTTAAATTTCTTGTGTAGTATAAATTAGAATCATACGATCACCCGATCACCGGGTTGTGCAAAAGTATGACCCCGACCCGACGGGTTGTTTTAATTCGGGTCTCGGGTCTTAAAAATTACCAACTCGACAACTTAACCCGGGTCAATAACCCGGGTCGACCCGACCGGTTCGGAGCACTAACTATACTATTGGTCAAATTATTTAAATTTTTACTAAAAACTATTTATAATTTTTTGAAAGTTAAAAGAAATACATATTTAAAGTTTTGAACAGATAAGATCAATACTTAAAAATTTTGATTTGATTAAATTTTATTTAATTCAAATTATAAAAAAATAAATATAAAAATTTTAATTGATTAAAATTTTCAGATAATTATAATATTTCTTTTGAAAAAAATACTTCTAAAACTGCTGTTAAAAGAAAATACTACTAGTATGCTTCTTATGCTTCTTTTAAAGAAATATACTCTGGAGTATTTTTTTTAAAGAAATACATTTTCAAAGTGTTTTTTTTAAAGTAAAATACGTCTAAAATATTTTTTTTGAAGACAGATACTTTTAAAAGTATTTTATTTTGAAAATAGCTACTTCTAGAGAATATTCTTTAAATAAAGCTATTATTGAAAGCATTTTTTTTTTTTTGAAGATAAATAACTTGCAGAATATGTTTTTTTAAAAGAAAATGCTTATAGAATATTTTTCTTAAAAAATACACTAAATACATTACTTTTGAAGAAAATATTACTAGATATATTTTTATTTAAAGTTAATGCTACTTGATTAATTTGTTTAAAAATAAAAAAAAAACTAAGCTAATGAATTTAGCTTAATCAGCTTGTAAAATTATATTATAAATGTTTAAGCTAAATTTTTGTAAGCTAATTAGCTTATAGGATTTACAACTATCTAAAAATCACTTCTAACTTAATTATCTTTAAAAATGATATTGCAACTGATTGGAATTCAGTTTGTAACCTTAAAGGTTACAATTAGTTGTAAACTTTTATTTTTAATTCATTTAACCTCTTATCTTCATTTCTATTATTTTTTTTTCCTTTTTTGTATATTTTAATTCTTTTTAATTTTTTAATTTTTTAAAAAAACAGATTTAAAAATTAATTTAAAAAAATATTTTTTTAAATTATAATTGTTATAATTTACATGATTTTAACTAATTATAAATTAGTAAATATTAGAACTTTAAACAGGTCAGGTTAGGTTGAATAATTGATTTGACTTAACCTAATAAGGTCAGGTTTATACATGAAGTCAAAATGAAAATCCAAAAATTGAAATGTTTTGACTTTGGAAGTCAAAATCAAAATAAAAAATTGAAATAGTTGAAATGATATCATATTACATGATTTTTATATATAAAAAAACAAAAAAAATAAAAGATGTATAATCTCGATCAATATCTCTTCAATTCATATGAAACAATTACCATTCGATTCCTCGTGACTAGATAAATCCAATGAGCTAACATTTATTGATTTTGGATCAGCCCATCTTAAGATATTTGCAATTAAATTTTAAAATCCAAACTTCTTTATTTAAAGTAAAATTTATTGATTTATAATTTCAGCCGATAATATAATTGCGATTATCTTGAGATTGAATAATTCAAAATTAATATGTATTAGCTCATTGGATTCGTCTAATTATGAGAAATCGAATGGTAGTTATTTCATATAAATCGAAGTGGTATTGACCGAAATCATACTTTTTTTTTGTTTTTTATATATAAAAATCATATGATATGAGATCATTTTGACCATTTTGACTTTTAGCCTCTAATAGTAGAAATAATTTTAATTGAGAGACTGGCAATCCTATCTTATTTAGTAACAACTAAGATCTTATTGTAGATTACATTGCAATAGATCATAATTCAACCCCTAGCCAAGGCAAATTATAGTATTAATTTACTATAAGATTTACCAGTTCAATTCTGGAAATGAATTTCATAAGATGTGTACAAACCATATACATTAAAGATCACAAATTTGTAGAATAAGATGACCATTTGATAGTTATTTATATGAAAAATAGTAGTTCTCATGGCATAAACTGTGTAAGATTGCTTTATTTACACATCATCCTAATAATAGGTAATAGTAATATGTAACTTGAAGTATAGTGAACTGATTGAATTTAGAACCTATGTCAAGGGCTGATCTGTAATGAACAAGTATTATATCATCTACAAAGAGTATCTGTGAGGATAAGATCAATAGTAAGCATTGTATAACTAGATTGAACAATAATTACAGGTTATAGATAGTTGATATTGCACTGTTCTTAACCATCATGGTGTCTATATCACAATTAGGATTTAGAGGTCTGAATTCAATTCTTAGGATGATTTTAATGTATGATGAGGCAATTATGGTATAGGTTATCATTTTAAATTGTTTTGACTTTTTTTCAGTAGTTATAATGAATATGAATGATAACAGATACCATAATATTCTACCATAAGGTTTAGTGGTTTGGTAGTCTACTCAGTAAAGTTCCGCAATTCAATTTGATATTTGAATATTTGATTTGAAAATCAAATCAAATACAAATTCAAATTTATATTTGATTTGATT